AAACATGAGTCAACAGGGAGGATTGTGTGATGACTGTCTCACCCGACTTGAACTTCTTCAGACCCTTGGTACGTGCAATACCGGCTTCCACAAAGCTGAGCAAAGAGGAAAGAGAGAGAAGGATGTAAGGGACAGCCACAAATGAGAATCTGCAGGTTGGAAAAGGACTCACCTATATAGAGTCCAAACAAACTGGGGGGAAGCGGGGAGATACCGTCCACTGGATCCTAGAGACTATATACACAGTGATCAGAACTCATGTTTTAAAGCCGGTTGCCTGGGTTCACATCTCTGCTTCACCACTTGCTACTTGGGTATTTAACTTTTTAAAATTTTTAGGAAGGGAGAGAGAGAAACATCGATCAACTCTCCCCTGCACATGCCCTGACCTGGGATTGAACCTGCAACCTGGGTATGTGCCTTGACCAAGAATCGAACCGGCCATCTTTTGGTGCATGGGATGCTGCTACCACCAACTGAGCTGCACCTGCCTGCGCACTACTTGGATGTTCTACTTCCTGTGCTTCAGTCTCCTGTCTACTAAATTGGGTAACGGTACCACTCCACAGGGTTATTGTGAGGATTAAGTTAACTAATGCATATAAAGCACTTGGAACAGCTTTAATAAGCACTTGATAAATAGCTAACAAAATATTAAAAAGGGTGAAGGCAACTTAATACATATTCAGATATAAAGATCTTTACATAGCTCTTTTCCATCTTAGTTGTACAAAGTATGAGGAAGTCCATTTAAACTATGAGACCGAGAACAGATTTTTAAAAATGCTTGCCCATCAAGAAGTGGACATAATTATTGTGGGTGAGTGTTCTCTATAGAGGGCAGTAAGGCATGGAGCAGATTCTCTTCTTGAGTCAGCCTGAGAATGGTGCTCAAAGTGGGAAAACGCCGAAACATTAGGTTTGCATCAGGGCTACATGGCTGCCTACCACGCTTCACTTGCCCAAGACATGGGCTGAAAACTAAAGAAAGCTCCGTGTTCTGTTGAAGATCTTACAACAAATAGTAGCCATTATCTATTAAAATAGTACCCCGAGTTTTGATAACTGTTTCCATTTTTTCAGCACAGAAAGCAGAGAAGCCATGCGAAGAAATCCGAACACGTTTGTAGCAGAGCTACAAACTTATCTAGACAGAGCCATGACCAGGACCCAGATTTAAAAGCTTTAACATTATTTCCATTACCTTTGATTTCAAGAAAATGAATGAACCAGTTTGACATCACATTATGCAGAGGCCTTTATATACTTGAAGATGTATTCAGTTGCCCCTTAACCATCTCTGCTTATTCTTTGGTCTGACCTCTCAGCAGACTGCCATTCCCACTTCTGGACCCCGTTAAAGGGGTGACCTAGGCAAATAGGTTTAACCATGTATTAACCAGGGATATTCCAATCAGATCCACCCCTCGGTGTGTTTAAGTCACAAAGGGGAAGTGGCTAAGGCACAGTGATCCGGAAGTAGAGAAGCAGAGGGAATGGCTGCTGAGACTCCACCCAGAACAGCCTTCCGGGTTCGTGTATATTCCTGCCGTGGGGTCTGAGACGTATATCCTTACAACGCCCACTCCACTCCTCCTGCTTTTCTCTTTTGCTGGTTAAACAGAGTTTTTGTTTGTAATCAAACAATTCCTGGCTAAATACATGACTATTTCTACTTCACACTGCTAAAAGTCAACATCAAGACATGCAGAGAGAAGAATCCAGCCTACCACTCTGTGCTTAGTGTTTCTGGGAGAGAAGATACATGAGCTAAATAGATTCTTAGCAAAACAGCACTTGGAAGATTCCTCTGTGAAGACACCACTTTCAATGATCAAACCTTGTCAATTCCACTCATCTTTCTAATCCATCCTCCCCCCCACACCATCTCTGAACTATAAGATCCTAAGGCAATATGGGAAGATGTAAGGAAACTTGCTAGCTCTTTTAAGGAAACTCTAATTCCAAATCTCACTGTGGAAGGATCTCAGGGCCTCCCAGCTTTGTCTCTTATCATTCCCCTTCCCCTTGGGGACCTCTCACTTATGATCCTTGCTTCTCCAGAAAAGGGTTAATATCCTTACACCACTGGAATAGGCCCCTTTGTCTTGAATTTCTCATAGCACCACTGAATCCAGGGTGAAATACAGGGTGTTCCCCTCAAAAATGCATATACACTTAACAGCTAATATCTCTATTTTGAAAATGAAGTGTATTTTAATAAATTATTCAGCATGTATATAGGGGGATGGACATCCTATATATGTGTGTATATAGGGGGACACCCTATCCTATATAATAAAAACCTAATATGCAAATCGACTGAATGACCAGTCGCTATGATGCGCACTGACCAGCAGGGGGCAGATACTCAATACAGGAGCTGCCCCCAGCCTGCAGGCCCCCAGGCCAGCCAAGGCGGGTGCTAGTAGGGGCCCTCGCTCGCCCCGCTGGTCACCCCACAGATCGGCCCTGCTCGCCAGCCAGGCCTAGGGACCCTACCCATGCACAAATTTCATGCACCAGGCCTCTAGTAGTTATATAAAACTTTAGAAAAAGGTTTGGGAATAACGAGGAAAAGCAAATGAAACACTGTGAAAGATACAACTTACCTATTCTAACTAACTAGTTAAGGTGTCCAAGTTTTATTCAACAAATATTTGAGCACCCTATTGTGATTACTGTACATGTAATGACGACACACCTGCTCTCAAGAAGCATAAGGCAGTGGGAGTGTGCTAACTGCTGTGTCAGTGGTGATTCAGGATGAATGAGAGCACAGAGACAAGGCAGCCAGACCAGTATTTGGGGGAAGGGAATTAGGGAAGGTTTCAGTGAAGTTGTCTAAAAAAAAATCCCAAGGCCTTAAGAAACAAATATGAATGAGCAGAGCATGAAACTGGGGAAAGGGAGAGGGCAGGAAATGAAGCATTCCAGAAGGTTCCAAGCATGTGCAAAAGGGAAGAGTACAATGTGTAGATTGTGAAGGGTTATTCCTTGTTTATGCTCAGGTGACAGGCTGTATTTTTCCTACCATCCAGAAGAGTCCACAAGAACGCCAGGATGCCTCTGAATCTAGGCCAGAGAGAGATACGTATTCAAATTCAGTTTCCTCTTTTTACAGTCAATGGCATCTTCCTCGGTTTGGTTTCCCAGACTCAGGACTGACACCTTCATTCCGGGTGTCTAATGCCAGTAGAATCGTCCTAAGATTTTGCCTTGACCGTGAGAGGCACACTATGGCAGAATAGTCCATTAACTTTAAACATTCAGCGAGAAATAAATTCTTCCTTACATTGCCAAAGTAAAGGCCACTTCCCAAAGATGTAAGATTGAAGGGAAACCGGGGTTTGTCTTTAGTTTAGGCAGGAACTATGTAAACCCTTCTGTTACACTTCTCCTCACAGAATGAAAATCAAGGATGTTTTTTTGTTTGTTTTGATTTAAAGAACTTTGTTCCTTTTCCGGATAGGAAGCCTACAAAATTTATTATGCTTTAACAGGAAAATACAGGGTCAGTCTTTCCCAAGAGGCCTTGTATTTCAACTCCATAGGCCAGAAAGACAGACTGAATGAAGCCAAGGGGAAGATCCGACTATAATCAACCTAACTTTCTGACCAGTGGCACACAGGGTCCCTGACCTCCTCCATTCTCCGGATTCTATGTCTATTCAGCCATGTGAGCACTGGCACTTTGGAGAAATGTGCACATCACTTCAATCATTTCCCCACTCCTGGATTTATCTTGATCCACTCAATGTCTGCTTTCTGCCAACAGTAAACCCCAGAGGTCAGGAGGTCAAAGGTTCTTGATGTCTACCTGGGGTTCCTTTGGAGGCCCACCAACGACCCTTTCCTTCAAGATCCATTCTGTACCTTTGGATCATGCTACCCGCACACAGTAATAACCCCGAGTTCCCAAGGTGGCATGACATGGGACGGGGAGGACCTACGGATCAAGCCTGCTAGAGAGAAGGCGAGGTGGATGCAAAAAGATGAAAATCAAGTTTACTTTGGGTCTTTGTTTTGAGAATTGGAGGTTTAGAAAACTTCCTTAAATAGAAGGAAGTCATAAAAGGGAAGCAAATTAAGTTTCTAGACATTTGTATGATACAGTACTGAACTATGGTTTTCCTTGGACCAATGTTGTTACCCAATGTCAAAATGTGACTCATCTCTAGACACCCTAGTGCAGTGATGGCAAACCTTTTGAGCTCGGTGTATCAGTATTTTGAAAAACCCTAATTTAACTCTGGTGCCGTGTCACATATAGAAACTTTTTGATATTTGCAACCATAGTAAAGATTTATATTTTTGATATTTATTTTATATATTTAAATGCTATTTAACAAAGAAAAATCAACCAAAAAAATGAGTTCGCGTGTCACCTCTGATACGCGTTATAGGTTCGCCATCACTGCCCTAGTGCCTATTTTCAAGCTAATGACATTAAATTTTCCCTTGCAAGAAGATTTTAACATAAACAGAAAATAGAGTATTTTAGGTAGCAATGATCTAAAATATAGCTGTTCTTGAGCATACATTCCCAATGGGCAAAACTCGGTACGTTGGGGAGCAAAAAAATATTACTCTTCATCTATATAAAGCACAAAACTATATATGGTCCATAAACAGATGTCCAGAATCAGAATATTTGTGGTATTAAAATTTCATGGGGATAGAAGATTCGAAAAAATATATCTAAAAAGGCTCTTTAGTGAGGAGAGAATGAAAAATTTGAGAAACACTGCTATCGATTCTTCTGTCAAGTCAGGAATACCTAAATTAACTTCATTCTAGTGATAATTCAAAATCCCAACATAAAACAGAAAATCATAGAGATTCTACTTCTAACCTATGTACTTGTGACTGGATCCAATTCTGTGGCCTTTGTTTCTCCCAGCAGAAGTCACTCAAATTGTTGAAGTGTAAAGAAAACCCTAGGATTAGTAATATAAAAAAAGTTGATGAATCATTAAGTTTACAACACATACAAAGAGTACAAACCAAGAAAAGTAAATTTATTTAAATTACTAAAATAGCTTTTAAAGTCATTTACGGATCAGCTGCTATAATTATTTTTCCAGAAAGGTAAGCAAAATTAATTACTTTAAAATTATTTTGGTCAGTGAAACATTTAATAAAAACAATTTGTTTCTCCATATAATATATAGGTATAAAATAAGCCTTTTCAAAAACTCTTCTTGTGTTAGAATCCTCTATAAGTCAGACGATCTGATTTCTGACAGGAACAAATTACAATATGAGGTATAAATTTATGAATACTGGTAGTCTTAGGGGGAAGAATTTAGACCACACTCTACTACCAGTCATGGGATCATCAAAAGGGTTGTTGATAATTAAAAAAACAAGCTGGCTCTAGGATTTTAAGATTCTAAGAAAATCAAAGCAATTGATAGATGAGAAAGCTGTTACAGATGCAAAAGATATAACCGAAATATTATAGTACAGTAATGTACAGTAGTACATTTTAACATTCTTCACACATGGTAAAGTTCACTTTCTTTTTGGCTTGAGGCACTCAAGTTTATCATGTGCATAGTAAATCTTTATATTTGTTATATGGGTCACTAAAAGAGACTGTAACAAGTGGACATGTAGAAAATTAAATCCTTCCATAGCCCAGAAAAGCTGGTTAACAAATGTTCTACACCAAGTCCCTCCCTTCCCCAGAAACTACATTTCTTAATTCAAAACAAAGCTTAAGGATATATCCAAAATAAACCGCTCTGGATTTACCTGCCCTTAAAAGTCAAATGAACAAGTATACTTAACCTTGTGATAGCATGCTTCACAGTCGCTGAGTGAACCAAAAATTTCTTAAAAGTAAAAAAAAGGCTATGTGAAAAACAAATCCCAAAAAATGCATTGAGAATGGAGTTTAGATAACTATGTTTGACTGAGTCTCTGTGGCTTATTTAACATTTTACCTTTAAGAGTTATTTTTTCCCTCCTTTCCTTCCCCATTCCACAAATTCTCTGTTCCCTTGCCTCCAAAATCAAAGGAAAAAATAACCCAAACACACACTCAGATGACCTTTCACGTTACTTTTGTTCCTATAAGCAGAAGCTAAGGAACTCACACCTAGAAGAAAACAAAATGGGAAAACCCACAGTTGCATTTAGGGAGCTGCCTTACTAAAACCAAACTGAAAAGTCTACGTGAAAAATCGGGAGGCTTCGTAGGAAGGATTTTCTAGTCCGTCCTACTGGTCATTCCATAGTAATAATGATTCAGCCAGCATCTAAACTGATCCTCTATGGGACTGCATATAACTTATAGTTCTCTGATACCAGTAACACAAATCTTAATGGAAATAGGGAAATGTTTCTCTCAAACAACAGGTAACAGGTCGGAGAAATGATTTAGAACTTTACTTCCTTCAGAAAGAAAACAGTTCTTTCACAAAGATGCATTCTGTCTCTGGTTACAAAGTCCAAAAAATTCTCAGCACTTGGGACATGATTTCTCTTCTGTCTCCGCTTATAAGCAGATGCCCCTTTTCAGGGCGTTTTCAGGTTGTACAGGCAGGACGAGGTGGGAAATACGGCTCCAGAGCCCACTCAGTTTGTCTGGGTCCATATGCTTGTAAGAGGTGGGTGTGTTAGAGTTGGTGAACTTGACTTTGAGGAAATCCCTCACTTTTTCTTCAATTTCCTTTAGGCCTAGACTGGTTCCAAGTGTTTCCTCCTCCAACAAGACGGTCAGGACTAAGGCAACATCTTTGAAGGCCGCATTTTCATGGTCACAATACTTGTAGAAGATCAAAGTGGAGCCGGCGGGCAGGGACTCGAAGCGGTGCACCACGGCTGCGTTCTGGCCATTTTGGAATCCATTGCTCAGTTCTTGGTCCACCTCTAGTTTCACAGCATCACTGTCCTCAGTAGCTCTGCCTGTCCCATCAATCCGGATGGCACGGACACTTCGGTGGGATGAATAGGCATCAGCGATTTGTTCACTCAGACACTTGAGTGCTTCTTCAGCATCACGGGCAGCGGTCAGCAGCAGGATAGCAGGCTGAGGACGAGGCTGGGAGCTGTTGAGATGTTTTTCCAGGAATGTTAGGCTCCTTTTCCACAGCTTCTCATCTTGACCTTGGTACTTAATCATAAGTTGTTTCATCTGGTTTTGGAACTCTTGCACAGCAGTGCTTTCTACCTCAGGAGCATGAGTGTACCACCAACTCCTCAGGACAAGAATAAGGAGCACAAGTATTGGCCACCACCACCACTTCATCTTGACAAAAGATGCATTTTTGGGCTGTCCAGTCATGTCTGCTCAGGAAAAAAAAATGACAGATACAAATATAAATTTCTTCGCGTCAAGGGCAAGTTGACTTGTAAAACCAATATTAATCTTTTAAAAAATGTTTTTAATTAATTTTTAGAGAGAGAGGATGGGAGAGATAGAAACATCTATGAGACAGAGATATCAACATTGATCAGCTGTCTCATGCATGCCCCCTACGAAGGATTGAGCCTGCAACCCAGGCATGTGTCCTGATCAGGAATCAAACCACAACCTCCTGGTTCATAGGTCGATGCTCAACCACTGAGCCACACTGGCCAGGAAAACCAATACTAACCTTTATAAACAAACAAAAGAGGAAGGAATTTAAAGAAGGGAGCTTATAATTGACTTTCTTAATAATTTATTACACATTTTTAAGAAAATCTCACACAGATAGGTTTTAAGTTATGTGTATAAGCATACTTATATCTCTTCAATACCAAAATGATAAAAACTCAGAGGAAAAAGTAAAATTTAAATGTATGAAATGGCATAACCAGGTCAGAAATAATTCTATATAATAAAAGCCCAGTGACCGAACGGTGGAATGACCAGAACGATCACTCGACCAGTCGCTATGATGAGCCCTGACCACCAAGGGGCAGACGCTCAATGCAGGATCTGACCCTTGGTGGTCAGTGTGCTTCCACAGTGGGAACAGATGCTCAGAGGGCAGGTCCACAGCTGCTCGGCTGACTGGGATGAGTGACGCTCCCACAGTGGGTTGATCCCCGCAGGCCATGCCCCCCACCAGTGCACGAATCCCACGCACCAGCCCTCTAGTATAATTTATACAGCAAAACTATTATTACTACTGCTAACACTGGGGAAGTAAGCAATATTAAAAGATACTTTATAAAGCATTTTTAAATTTAGAAACCCAGAGTTCAGATGGCTAATCAAGACAGAATTTTAAAATTTTTTGAAGTGTATAAAAAGATAAAGAAAAGGATGCACTCTAAGTGAACACCTTGCATATAATATAGCTAGCTGTCCCTTTAGTTGCACTGATGCAAGTTAACACTGGTAAAATTTAGTTTGCAACTCGAGCGTTGTTATTATTGGCTATCATGATGTCAAGTTACTTATCTATTGCTTTTCAGTTTATAAAGCACTCTCTCATATGTCACACACTTAACTGTCTAATATAATGGCAATGAAAATACTTCTACACCTCCTAATTATTGACTGACTGCTTTAGGCTAATAATTTACTATGAACCTTTTAGAGCAGTGGTTCTCAACCTTCCTAATGCAGCGACCCTTTAATACAGTTCCTCATGTTGTGGTGACCCCCAACCATAAAATTATTTTCGTTGCTACTTCATAACTGTAATTTTTCATAAGCAGTTAAAATTATGTATCTTACTATAACTTGAGGTTAATAAGAAATCATTTGAGTACAAATTTTAATATTCTATGTGAAGAAATTGGAAGCACTCATAAAGCACTTTGCCCTAACCGGTTTGGCTCAGTGGATAGAGCGTTGGCCTGAGGACTGAAGGGTCCCAGGTTCGATTCCAGTCAAGGGCATGTACCTTGGTTGCGGGCACATCCCCAACAGGGGTATGCAGGAGGTGGCTGATTGATGTTTCTCTCTCATTGATGTTTCTAACTCTCTCTCGCTCTCCCTTCCTCTCTGTGAAAAATCAATAAAATGTATAAAAAAAAATAAAGCACTTCTTTTTATTAAAACTGAATTTATTGGGATAACATTGGTTAATAAAACTATACAGGTTCAGTTACATAAAGCACTCTGATGTATAGCCCAAAACAATGGCTGTTTCAAGAAAAGAACTTGTGCAACTGAGCTGTGAGCTGACCTAGTGCTTTTTTTCATGGAATTTTAAAAAATATATATTTTATTGATTTTTTACAGAGAAGAAGGGAGAGGGATAGAGAGTTAGAAACATCGATGAGAGAGAAACATTGATCAGCTGCCTCTTGAACGCCCCCTACTGGGGATGTGCCCGTAACCAAGGTACATGCCCTTGATGGGAATCGAACCTGGGACCCTTGAGTCCACAGGCTGACACTCTATCCACTGAGCCAAACTGGTTGGAGCTTCATGGAATTTTTAATTGAAAGAACAAGTGACAACTATGGTTAATCGGATTTGCATATCTGATAGACATTTTCTTGAAAATGAACAAAGTGAGCCCAACCGGCAGTATTTGTTGCCAATTATAAAATTTAAGGTTTCAAGCAAAAATTACGATTGTGGAAATATTGTATCTACCATTATCAGTTCAAAAGCTCCCAATTCTAAAAGACTTTTTTGTCGGTGGTGATATTAACAAATGTACTCTTTTGATATTGTATTACAAATGTCTCAACATTTGGAAGAACTTCATAACTTAGTGAATCAATATTTTCCAAATGACCAGCGCATGATAGTCTATTCAAAGTACAACAAAGACCAATAGGTTTTATAGAATACAAAAAGTTTGTTAATGTGGTCTCAGATTTCACATTTCAAACAGCAGTCAGAAACTACCATTTGTTGAGTTTTGGAGAGTATCAAAATTAAAATATCCACAATTATCGGAAATTATTAAAATTCTACATATCTGTATAACGCTGGATTTTCTGCAGATACTTCAACCAAAGCAATATACTGCAACAGACTGAAGGCAGAAGTAAAAAGTACGTAAGCTCTATTGTGTTAAGCCAGGCATTAAAGAGATTGGAAAAAATATAAAGCAAGTTATCACTCTTCTTATTAAATTATTAAAAAATAAAATAAGTCAGAAAAGAATTTCAACTTTATTTTCTAGTTAAATATGGACATGTATAACCCATATATGTATATATTTTTAAATATATTTTATTGATTTTTTACAGAGAGGAAGGGAGAGAGATAGTTAGAAACATCGATGAAAGAGAACCATCGACCAGTTGCCTCCTGCACATCTCCCACTGGGGATGTGCCCGCAACCCAGGCACATGCCCTGGACCGGAACTGAAGCCAGACCCCCTCAGTCCGCAGGCCGACGCTCTATCCACTGAGCCAAACTGGTTTCGGCAAACCCATATATTTTTAAAATAGAGTTTTGGGGGGTACTTATTAATTTCACTAGTAGGAAGTGGTATTGAGACCAAAAAGTCTGCATATCAGTTATTTTCTTAGTACTCATTGAGAGTAATAAGCAGGCTTAGGAAACGAAATTTGCCCCCAACACTACAGAGAAGGTAAGTGATCCAATCTAATTCAAGTACAGGCCTGTGGACTCTCAAACCCATGATAATCCTGTTATGTTATGCTATGTGAGGTCTTTTTTCTTTTCTTTTCTTCTTTTTTTTGACTCAGCAAGGTTCACTTGGTTAACAGCATTAGTAGCTTTAATTTATTAACTTTTACTTTTGGTTGTATGGACAATAAAGTGCAGGGGGAAACCAGTTGTCATTTCTTATCACTTACCCTTAAAGAATTTCACCGCTAGTAAAATATACTTTTCCCTCTGAAGTGCAAAATATAATTCTTCCAATAGCATTAAGTTATTTTGCTGCCAAACACAATTAAAGACAATTATGGGCCACCAGTTTGAGAGACTCACTTAATAAAAACTGAACAGACTTACGTTGGCTGAAGGTTGATGGAGACTGGTTTCCAAACTCTGATTTCTGAAAGCTGTCATCTAATGAGAGGAGTAATAAAGACTATCAATTTATGTTTCATAACTTAAGTATTTCCAACAGAGAAAGAAAATAAAAATTCTAACAAGAGAAAAAAAAAGGTGGAGCTCAGCCAGAAACAGAAGAAAAAAGCAGAAGTGCCTATTAGAATGACAGCTCCTTGAGACAGGGACCTATTTCCCTCACAATTATTGACGGCATGTCTAGTACAAAGCATACTCTTAATACATTCGCTCCGTGAGAAAGCCTTCAAGTATCTGATCCAAAATTATTTAACGGGAGCTGTGAAACTTCTGGGACAAAGTTAGGAGGTTCAAATAAGCGCAACTATAATGAAAGGAAACATATACTATCCTGTAGCTCCCCCTGCCCCCACTCATAGCTTGTTGCCCCGCCCTCCTGTAGCTCTCAGCAGCCTGCTTGTACCTCTCTGGCCCAATAAAGCTGGAGGTGTCACATTTTCTGATTTCAAAATGCATGACAAAGCTAAAATAATCGAAACAGCATGGTCCTGGCATAAAAACAGATACATAGACGAATGGACGAGAATAGAGTCTAGAAATAAACCCACGCAGATATGGCCAACTGATCTTAGACAAGTGTGACAGAGCTCAGTCTTCTTAATATACGATGTTTGGGAAAATGGATATCCACATGCAAAAGAATGAAACTAGACCCTTATCATACACCATACACAAAAATCAACTCAAAATGGATGAAAAACTTAAACCTAAGAACTAAAACCATGAAGCTCCCAGAAGAAACATAGAGAAAGAGCTTCTTGATACTGGCCCTGGCAACGACTTCTTGGATATGGCGACAAAAGCAGAAACAAAACATGAGATTACATCAAATTAAAAAGCTTAATGAACTAACTTGAGACAAAGTAGGAATACAAACAGGTAAAATACAAAAGATCAGCTAGCAATTTAGCAACTAAAAGATGTATTTCTACATTCCAATTAGATCCTCAATGTAATTATTTTACCTTCCACACTGCATTTGTAGTGTCTTATTGGAGGAAGTAAAAATTATACAAACTTTTTTTTTTTTAGGAACATGTCCAGTTTATTTCATAAAGTCTCCTAATTTTATTTTATTTATTTGTTTTTAAACCTTTACTGTTGAAAGTATTACATATATCCCTCTATTTCCCCCACTGACTCCTTCTAGTCCACCCCTGTCCCCTGGCCTTTTTCATACACATTTTTGATAATAGTGTGCACTATACTTCACTTATCTGAAAGTAATCTGATATTAATTACCCAGAATATAGGGATGTCCCCCAAAATGTATACACATGCTTCAAATAACTATAAAGGCATTGTCTATTAAAATACATCTCATTTTCAAAATTGAGCTATCAAGCTGTTTAATTGTGTAGACATTTTTCGGGACACCCTGTATATAGTTAAAAACTAAGAAATAGCCCTGACCGGTTTGGCTCAGTGGATAGAGCATTGGCCTGTGGACTGAAAGGTCTCAGGTTCGGTTCCGGTCAAGGGCATGTACCTGGGTTGCGGGCACATGCCCGGTGGGGAGTGTGCAAGGAGGCAGCTGATCGATGTTTCTCTCTCATCGATGTTTCTAGCTCTCTATCCCTCTCCCTTCCTCTCT